TATTATTATTATTATTTTGTTAGCTCTTCTCTTTATATGTAAATTATTTTTAAATGTTACTTTAACTTTCTACGTTTTTTTTAAAGTTGTAATTCATTATAGGCTTAGATTTCAAGATAGCATTGTATATTTTTCTTTCATTTTACTGTATATTTACTCATATTTCTCTTGTTTTGTTCTTCAATAAAAATTATTAATATATAACTTTTCGTACAGAAGTATTTTTATTTCAAAAGCTATGTTATGTAACTGAATTTTTTGCTGATTCATGAATTGAATTCTTTTACGAGACACATTCCTTCAGAAATCTATCATAAACGCTACGTTCAAAGTTACGCAAGATATCCCGGCAATCAAGAGTCACGAAAAAAAAAAACAGCTATTTGAGCTGTTATTGGCTGCATTCCGTAAAGTGCATGATGCACCCTAATTGTTTACTGAATATCAAACAAGGAAAAAATGACACATTAAACGCTTTATGGAATCAGGGGGGGGGGGGGTTGGCTCGCGTGAATTAGCAACTTAATAATCGTACCTGACAATGAGTGGAGGTGGAGTGTTCAAAGTTATAAAGAACCGACCAGGCGACGCAAAAGACGAACGCCAGGAAGGGCAGAAACACGGTGAACCATGCCACTCTGGAGAACGGTACGACGAGGCGGGCCTTCGACATGTCGTCCTCCGCCAACGGAATATACTCTGATCCCAATCTGAGCTTGCTCATGTTATTAAACTTTCGTTACTACAGTATCTCTTTACGTCACAACATGCATGACACCGCCGACAATAAGGTTAATACGGCAATTTGGAATCTCAATCGTCACTGGCGCGTGCGATCCTCTCGGCGCGTTTCCTGCGGATCTTCCTGGACGTGACGAGTCCTGGCCGCGCGGAACGATCGTACGTGACGATCGACGTGAACTCGCGAGTCCAGTTTGTCGGTAAGCGGATCAACATTGTAACAGGTTAGGTCCACTCGGTCACCGATCGATCAGACCGTGGCTACTCTTTCAAACTCTTCTAGAGCGCGTTTTACTTGGCGCTCACAACGCTGAATATTATTTGTCCTTATTCAATACTCGACAAACTAGAATGAAATGATTTCATTCCAAGAATACGTTCCATTTGACGTTCACAGCTTAAAGCCTTATTCACGTCTGCTAGAAATCTATCCAAGATCTCGAATGGAGAAAGAACTGACCAATCGTATTGATCATGTAATTGAACCGACTATTATTCAGATGTGATTTGTTCTTTCTTTGTCCGAAATCACGAGCCGGTGTTTCATTATGACGAATATAATTTTCGGACAAATTTCTGATCAGTAAATTACTAATAACGGTTGTATTGTTGTATATTGGCAGATATCCGCAAATATCTTTGTGTGCCTTCCAATAAGCACAGCTTATTGGAATTAACAACTAGATACGAAAAATCATAATCACCTATTTAGGTTAAAACTGATTAATGGGCCTTCTACAATAAGCCATTAATCGTAAGTTAATTGTACTAGTTAATAGCCTGATCTACAATTGCATAAAGTAAATAGTTGTAAGTGGTCGTAGTTATAACAATTTATTAATCACAGTCGGATATTCTCCTCATTTTCAAGTGTGATTGGTTAATTCTTACAACTACAACTACGTTTACGCAATTGTAAATCGGGCTTAAGACTTAAGATTTCCGACTCATGTTGTAGACTCGACATATGATTTAAATTCACCGCATACTGTGATCCTTTTTTTGGGTCGGAAAACCAAGGAAAGAATAATAAAAAGATCTGGGACAATTTCGGAACTTCTGTGCTTTTTTAAGTGTAAACGCTCGAATGATTGACAGAAGAGACATCTAAATTTTAGTCTGCCACATTCCGCATAAGGTTCTCGTACAACATGACTTCGTTTTTAGTGAATGTACTGGCTACAGCAGGTAGTTACAAATTGTCATGTTTGTAGTAATTAGACCCATTTATCTATCAATATAGATTAACTCTAATTTCAGTTTGATTTACTTTTTGTATTGATTAATGTTTATTTCTATGAATATAAATTATTTTTGGTTTAATTTACTTTTTATCTTTGTCTAATGTTTATTTCTCTCAATATAAGATTAACTTTAGTCTTGGTTTAATTTATTCTATATCTTTTTTTAGTTTTAAAAAATTACAAAAATATAAGTAAGTCAAACCAAAATTCAAATTGATCTATATTCATAGAACTGGACATTGAACAGTCATTGGCGAATACCGAATGCAATTCTATCTTACGAATACAGAAAACAATTTTTTCTGTAGTCAGAAATTGTAGCATTTGCGGACAATATATTTATACATGTAATTATATATGAAATTTCTAATAAAATATATAATTAAGCAATTTTTCTTATCACACATAGGTAAACTTGAGAAAGCGGATCTTCAGAAAAACATCACCGAGATACAAAAGGAAATAACAAAATTAGAATATGAAGTTAAAGATTTTATGGACGACAATTATGTTGAGTTTAGTTCAAAGTTGACAAGAGATGTACACTTGGTTAAAAAGACAGAACAGCTGTTGGAGGAAATTGGTATTTTGCAGAGCAGAATAAATGATCAAGTATGTTTTACCAATACCTGTCGTGCTAAATATCATGATAAAAACTGATATTTAATGTTATTACATTTATCATATAGATCAAAATAGAATTATCTAGTTCAACAAAGGAGCTGAAGACACTCTCTCAGACATTGAAGGAGTCCAATATCAGCCTGCAATTGTCCCATCAACTGATAAGTCTACACAAGTGCATAAAATCTATACAAATGGCACAGAAGGAAAAACAGTATGTTGATACTGCCAAAACTCTGCAGCAAATGCAATCTCTGCTGAATACTCCTCATAGTCTCCTGCATGAACTCGAAATATATACGGCAATTAAGGATGAGTACTGCAATCTCTCTCATTCATGCTTGATGGAAGCTTTTGGTCTCTTAGATGATCGAATCTGCTGGAGCAACAATATGAAGGAAAGCAAAACAATTAACTCTATCACTATTAAAAACAAATATAATGATATACAGGAATTAATGCAAGGATTGGATATTATGGGTTATCTTGAAAATGAATTAGAAGTATTTTCTACAAAACTAATGGACTATATAATCAAACCTATCATTTATGATCACTGTTCAGTATATGTCGTCAAGGAGAGAATATTTACTGTAGAGATATTGGAGAAAAAAAAGATGCCATGTTACAAAGGTGTATTGTATAACTTGAACTTACTCTTCAAGTTTCTCCATCAACATTTAAATCTGATAGTGGATAACGAATCTTTCCTGAGAAGATTGCAACCACATCTGCTGGAAAAACTATCGCATTCTTTGATAACAGATTGCCTCTCTCACACCATTCCAACTTCTAATGCAGATCTGAAGAACTTTGAACCTGTAGTCGAAACAATTAATGAATTTCAAAACTACTTGGTAGTAATTGGTACTTACGTCTAATTATTCAATAAAATAAAAGTATATACTATATAATACAAAAAATTAAATGATGTATAATTTCAGGATTCCTTTCTGAGGATCAACTGTTCTTATCAGAGTACACAAATAACATTGATAAACTCTTCATTAATAGAATATGTCAGGATTTACTAGCTAAAGCTAGAAATATAATGAGAAAAGATCTACATGATTCCGTTCGATACGAACCACAGGTATTCACTTCACTGTTATTATATTAAAATAATATGTAGAGAAGAGTTATAGACTCGTATTCAGAACATGCTTCTAAGATTTTATAGCATATGTAACGTGAATTATAGGCTAATATCATTAGTGTGTTCTGAATACTAGTCAATAATGAAAAGCATTTGATTTTCAATTATTTTGTTTTAGGAACCGCCTAAGCTTATAGATAAAGCGTTCGAGAACGACTGCGAATTATCTATTGAAAAGAAGTTAAGCGATATGTCATTTTATCTACCAAAATGTCAAATAAGGTACATTTAATTAATAGTAATTAATGTAATATGAATTTTATGAATTCAGATTTTGACAACTTTTTCCTCTTAGCGCGCTCTGTGATACTAAATATAAATATTACCCAATTTATTTTAGCAAAAGTGCACAAGAAACACTAGAATTAGCGAAAATGATATTGAACGAGGCTTGTGATAGTTCGGATACTTGCGCTGTTAGATTATTTTATACATGTAGGAACGTATTCGAAATGTATGCTGGTTTGGTGCCTGAGCATCATAAAAAGTTCTTAAAAACAATACCGCAACAAGTTGGTAAGAATGATACATAATAGAAATAAACTAATTCTAGTATGAATAAAATAAATGTTACGTAATTATTATTGCAATTATATTTTAGCTTTGTTTCACAATAATTGTATGTATCTCGCCCACCATCTGCTTACACTGGCGCACGAATACAGAGACAGATTATCAAAAATTGTTCAAAGATTGAACTTGACATTTGCGGATCAGGTTACGATACTTCGAGACGTTGGGTCGCAATGTTTCCTAGATCACATGAGATATCAAAGAAATATTATCTTCGACATCATTAAGGATTCAGGTTTATGATTTACTTATTAGCTATGAAGAAAATTAAAGTTGAAAAGAAGATTTTGCTAAAATGTGTTTATAATTAGGCTTCTCAGGATTAAGCCAAGCGCCTCAGTTAGATCCTAGCACCGAACGTGCATTAAGACAATGTATCAGACAATTGGAACTATTAAAGACTGTCTGGTTGGATGTGTTGCCTATAAATATTTATTGTAGAGCCGTTGGTTAGTTTTTCTATTCATCAGATTCTTTTCATTTCATTGTTATATGTTAATATTTTAATTTTTTTACATCACAGGATGTATAACAAATTCCATGATGGATGATTTGATAATGAGGGTCATATCTGCCGAAGATATTCCAGTTAAGGTCGCAGAAGAACTGGTAATTTTATTTAATATGGTTGTAAAACGAATGCCGCAGATATTTCCTGTAAGTATATAATGCATAAAAAATACAATACAAAAGTATATTTGTATACGAAGTTTAATGTGACAGATAGATTTTTATTGCATTTAATGTCATACATTTGATACGATAAAAAGTTGCTCGAGATAGTAGCATTCCAACTGGTTCCTGTAAAAGTTAAGCCATAAGAACATTATTCCGTTTAATGTTAATCAATTAGCATTTTCACTTTATAGGATCAACAGATTCAACAACATGTACGTAAATGGACAAAATTTTTGGAGCTGATTAAGTTACTTGATTCATCACTGAAACAAATCGAACTCAGATGGGGAAATGGGAAAGGGCCATTAGCACAGGAGTTCACTGCCCCACAAGTCAAACAATTGATCCGTGCAATCTTCCAGAATACGGATAGAAGATCTAACGTCTTAGCCTCTATAAGATAAAAATGTAAGATACAAAATTTCAAATACATATAAACAATGAATGAATAATTAAGTTTTGTATTATACGTATTAAAATTGAATATGGAAAACAGCGTAACTAGAGAGTAACTAGAAGTAAACAGAGTAACTAGAGAGAAGATAAGTCATGTAATTTTATATACTTTTGTACGAAAAATAATTAAAAATAAAAAATACTATATCTCTATTTACTATCATACATGTACATATACACGCGTGTACACAGGATGTCATTAAAAATTTTGTTTCGGTTATTTATAAAATTAATATAAATGAAATATTGATTGCGTAAAAAATGTTAGATAATAAAATAAAATTAGCAATTAAAATTAAAACATCAATAAATTTATTTCTGAATATATAACCAATTAAAACAAATTTTTTTTATTAATGTTAAATGGATTTTAATAAGAAATATTATTTCGTAAATAATATACTAAATATATTGAATATTTATATAATAGATATTTTATTTTTTCTATTTTTTAAATAAAAATTATATTTAATTTTGAAACGAATTATTTTATTTAAAATAAGAAAGAAAATTAATTAGAGAAGCATTGAGATACCTAGGAATGCTTGCCTAAATAATCTATCCTGCATCTAATTTATGAAAACCATATAAGATATATATTTATTTAAAGTCTTTAATTTTCAGTATTTAGTTGTCTAATTATATTAATATTTGATATAAGTTAATAATTTCTCCTTTTTTATTAAAATACTTACGTGAATGCTTTCAACTTATAGTGAACTTGCGTATGTCCAAATTTTATATCTGGATTAAAGTCAATTCCGAGAAATTCTCTTTTTCCGTCAGGAGTTTGATTAAAATATTAAAATGCACGAAGAACGCAAACACAATATTATATACAAAATAACGTATCTAATAATAAATTTACTTGTAAGTTGTCGTAGATTATCGTAGAAACTCCGAGTATATATTAACTAACCCGTATTTTTTAAAAATAAATCGTTCGTAAAGTGACGGAAAAAAATATCAGACTACATTATTATAATAAACTGAAAAAGTAATCAGTCGGTCAGTCAATTAAGCAGGCAGGCAGGCAGGCAGAGGGTGGCGGTCAGTAGTGAGCGCAAATCGTTTAATATCTCATTTCCAATTCCATCTTTTACAGTGGAGATAATATACATCATTACCACTATTTTTATCACTTTCTTATTTACGAGCATCTGAAATGACAAAAATTGATGCTCGGACATCTCTTTCCAAATGCAGCACTGTTTCTGCACGTATATCACAAAACCGAGGTGGAAGATATATCATGTTCCATGCGAATCGCTTTGGCTTCGCAAGCAATTTTTTGATCTCGTCGTTTGTGCGTCGAAATTCTCAAGGTATATTACACATTACTATATATCTATTTCTTCTTCTTCGATTACACGTTATTAATTGTTATATGCGAGCAGCAGTTTGCATTTGGCTAGTGTTGGCGCGATTTACTGTCTCCTTTCCGATTCCATATAAAATCGTTACTATTCATAGAACGTTAAGCGAGCACACGTTTCTAAATACGTGAGAATGATATTCACAAGATTATGAACCGTTGTACCGCAATCTCAGAACTTATCGGAAAGCTGAAAATAATGATAGCTAAGCAAATCAACAAAATTACGAGATGCTACTATTTTAACGGTGGGATTATATGTACGCAAATGAATCATGAACTCTGTATTATAATCGTAAACCAAGGACCACAAAAAATCCTACGTATCTAAAATGTGTAAAGAAAGGAGATCTAAAATAACCCACGATAGATTTCAGTTTAAAATAAAATGATGATTGTAAATAGTGTGTTATAATCTCTATAGATTAATAACTCTATTAATTATTTTTTCAAATATTATTCGCACTCCGCGATTCGTGTTTCACGGTTCGAACGTGAAGAATGTTTTTTTTTTTTTTTCAAGGGAACTTTCGAGTCTTTTAATCATAAAAAATGTTCTCCGGCAGCGACCACGGGTTGTATGGAAGTGGACAATGCACGGAAAACATTGCACAGCGCAAACTGCAATGGTAGTTCTTGTTTATATACAGGTCGCTGTGTAGATTGGACAGAAATGAAGTCGTCGAGGCGGGTGGCTGATCGGCCCGCAGTTCAGATTGGCAAGACGCAGCGTAGTTCTTTTATGTGCATTCACGTAGATGACGATGACTGTGAACATGGAAGTGCAAAACAGTTTGTCACATTACTTCGCCCCCTTTTGACTCCCATTGACTGAGAGCCGACAGTAGCTTGATATTTTTGTGCATGCAATTAAATGAATTTTGCCATATTTAATATGATAGCAACAGATTGATCCTCATGCACATAAAAATTTTTTTATGTAATTTGTAGAATTCTTCCATATTTAGTTTGTAATAGACCGAAAGCAACAATTGTGTTCGCGTAAAATAGATAGATGCGGAATCGCATCAAATTGATTTCTGTAAATTAATCCATTTAAGCTTTGCCTTGAGCTAGATACTTCTTTCAGACACAATCACTTATCTGTGTCTGTAGTTTTTTTATACATTTACACGCGATTGTCTAGTTTTTCATTATCATAATAACTAATATTCTTAGAATCTCTCCTAAATTTCAATCATTAAAAATGTTCTTTTTATTTCAATAGTCTCCCAAAAATCTTTTAAATGATACGAATTTTTAGTAAGTGTAAAACTCAAATATCTGTTTACATCGCATACCCGTGAGCGAATACGAAGATCGTAGAATCACAATACGCCACGAGATGCCTCTTAACAGAATCTATATCAGAATCTATCATCAGAATCTATCATCATAATTATAATCAGGGTTGGGATAACGCATACTTGTACCGTTGCTTTTCTTATCCTTACTTTGTTATAATAACGGCTTGATAACAAATTTTTTATGATTGCAACAGTAATATCAGGATAGGAAAGTCATTTAGTCATTACTTGTAACAGGTTGGAAAAGTCACTCGTTACTGAAAAAAGTAAGTCGCCATTTTAACGCGTTTTTACTTTATAAATAACTTTTTTCAAATAAAAACTATTAAATAAACACGTAATATAAAAAATTACTTTTCCAATCTTAGCATAACTTTAGTTGTATAGTTAATTATTGTTACAGTCATAAAAAATTGCAACGTCATTACCAAATCGTTTATTATAAAAAGTAACTTCTCATCCCTGATTATAGTCTAATGGAATTCTGATCGTACTTTCCTAGCTCCCACAAGATAGTTACGTTTGAGCTAAAAGAACTTGCTAATAAACGTGACACGAGTTCAATATCAATTTAGATGGGTTCTCGTCAATACCTGCCACGGCCGGCGGGAGAGCGGCTTCGATACCTCGCTGTGCTTGTATCCTTCCCGGTGTAGTAGTCGGCGCCAGTGTCCCCGCTACTACCACCGTAGACATCCTGTGTATATCCGTCTCGCGTAACATACCCGCTGCTGCGATTGTACATATAGTCTTCTCCGTAACGACCTCTGCCCCTACTTGCGCCACCCCTGCCTGTATAATAGCTGCCTCCATAATCTGCGTAAGTACTGCCTCTGTAACCTGCAGTAGTGCCGCCCCGAGAGCCAAAGTCCCTACTGCCAACCCCGCGATTTCCTCTGAAACCACCCGCGCCACCGCCCCTACCTCCCCCACGGCCCCTACCCCGGGAAATCTCCACTCTCAATTTTGCACCCATAATCTCCATGCCGTTCATGTTGCAGCAAGCTAATTCGGCCTCGTTCATGTTGAAGAATTCGATGAAAGCGAAGCCCGGTGGATTAAACGCTACCCACACCTTGTTCAACTTGCCATACTTTTCAAACTCCATTTGTAGATCTTCCTTCTTGATGCTCTCATTCAACCCGCCCACATAAACGCGTGTATATCCTTCTGGTGTCATCTTGCTGCTAAAAAAAAAAGAATATTTAGTAACTGACAGTTTATCAACCAGATCCGGTTTTATCAATTTGTAAGATTAACTTTAATTTCAGTTAAAGATTTTTCTTATTTTTCCCAAATGGATTTTGGACTCGCTAAGGCAGATCACAAGAAGTTTGTTCGCGTCACATGCTCCAACATGTTCCTACTATAGCTCCTACTCACTCTTATGAGCACGTTTGAGTAAGTAGGAGCTATGATTAGAGGAAGTAAGAGCATGTTGGAGCATGTTGGAGCATGCAACGCGAACAAACCTAATACTATGAATATAAAACCTTATAACAGTCTGGCTACTATCAATTTTGTCAAAATAAGAGTGAGAAAGAAAGATATATATACTGTCTCTTTACTATCTTACTCACTCTAGGTATTTTAACTTGTGACAAAAGCTTCCAACTGACAAAAACGATGGACCAATCAAATTTGTTTAGTGGCCAGACTGTTATAGGGTGTGTTCAACAGAAAAAGCGGCTTTGCAACTATTGTAAAATTCTTTAATATGATTGGTCTTACCTTCAGTTCCTCACACGATTTAAATGCATAAACCAATTATGTTAAAGAATCTAGCAACAATATTGCAAACCTTGTTTTTTTCTGCTGAACGTAGCCATAGGATCTCTAATCTCCGTTCAATTAGAATTAGAAAAGAAAAGATTTAGAAAAAGATACAGTTAAATCGGAATTAAGATTAATTTTACACTGGTAGAATCAAACTTAATAATAACACGAATGTTATAATTTCATACTCAACAATATAAATGTAATGTAATACATGTTGCATACAATTACATCTGTTATTATTAAGTCTGTGATTTTATAACAAAAATTCAGTAACTACATCAACTAACAATAATTCAATATCAACAACTGTTCTTTTATTCCCGACTGTTGTTAACTGAAAGTTAAAATGAATATATGTTACTGAACTTTTGCACTCTCCAAATGGAGAACAAAAGAGGAAAAATAAACTGCCCAAAAAATTTGGCTAAAAAAATAATGTTATGTTATTGTTAATTAATGTCAATTGGATTTTTCTATCTGTAATAATTTCTGAATCATTTCTCAATCTTTTTGAAACAATGAATTTTTCAATCAAATCATAATTTTTGTAATTCGTTAAAATTAATTATTGTATCACTAATAATGTTATTCAAACATTCGAAACAACGGGTAGGTAAAAATATTGCTTTTGTGCCAAATAGA